ACACATTCAATAACTTCATCATCTTCATTTAAACATTTCTAGATAAGCTCTTTGCTTCTTACGTATCTCATGCTCATTAAATTCAAAGATAAACCGAGCCTAATCAATGCTTTTGCAAACTTTTTATTTACTTTCACCCTTTTTACCGCTTCATCATTGTTCCTATTTTTACTATCAACTTTTCATTCTATTTTAATTTTTTTACTATGTTTCAATCCTTCATGCTTCTTTCTTCCAACTTCTACATGGCGAACGTCTATTACATTATGATTTAAACTTCGATCATGACTTTGATCTTTTATAGACGGATACAAATAAGCCAAGTGCCCTTTTCGCTGATACACATAACACAAACATGATCTATGCTTTTGTTGTTTCCTTTGAAACATTCTTAGGTTCTGTACAACCTCTTTAACTACAGTTCCCACAATGTTTTTCACCAATGTTACTAAATAATTTTCTTGTTCCATTCTTTTCAAACTCCAATTTCGTTAAACAACTTGCCACAAGGCTCTTTGAATTCTCAATTATGATCAGTATAACCTTCTTGGTCTTGCACTTAGCAAGTACAATAAACTTCTATAAGTTTCTGTGAGTAGAACCTTCGTTTGCCCAGGTCCTTTATGTCACATAGTCATCCAAACTACTGTGTATTCATGGGTTTTTACTATTAATCTTCATTCATTTAGCAATATATATGATGACTGGAGTATCATGCCAGATACTACCACCAATAATATATTCACACCGATAACAGTTTATTCACTAAGAATAGCTCAAAGAGATAACAAGAACGAAAGTTAGGCACTTCCCCTGTTTGGATCGATATCTTAAATATTATTACTAATATATATTTGATTACTACATTATTCATGCAATACTAATCGCTATTAATTACTACATTGTTCATGCAATCACTACTTTAGACTTTTAATTAAATCATGATCACCTGATTCATGTATCATGCATTAATTAGATCACTGACATTTGATCAACACGTACCTGATCACTAATCACATGGGTACCGTGTAGCTCCGTGATATTATGATTAGTTTTCGTATTTTTAAAAACATACTCTAAACTGTATGAATAATGTAAAAATAAATTGAATTTATTAGCCAATCGGACAAACTTCTGCCTGACTTTAACTGCAGTAAACAAAGACTTTAATACTTGACTCAAATATTTCTATGTCCTACTTAAGTCTACCACTCTAATGCTCTGTCCTTAGTAAATAAATTCCTTAAACACGTAAGTTTTATTTCTACAATGTAAAATTTATCCTTATAATAACTAGTATCAGTTCTTACTTTATATCTAAAACACACTTCATACTCTATATTTTAAGTCATTGAATCCCATATCCAAGTATCTTAAAAAAATAAATATCAAATAAAACAATATA